GCCCTCGCTGGCGGCCGCGGAACGCGGAGCGACCCACGCCCGCGGCACGCGAGGGCGCGCCCGCCACGGCCAAGCGGCGACCCGACCCCCCCACGCCTTCCTGCGAGGCCGTCGAACCAGCAGAGGAGCCACACAGCTCCCGCTGGGAGCAGAGGCCGAAGCCTGTGACCACGCCTCGGCCCCGCGCGGCAAGCGGGGGAGCGTGGCAGCCCGACGGCGGACGAATCTCTCAACCTCTAGACGTAGAGTGACGCGGCCTGTGAGAACCTCCCCTCCCAGTACCAGCGGCTAGGGTGAAGTCGGGCCTGTCCCTCTACAGGAGGAATACTCGCAAATAGTCAAAAATAGGCAGGGGACGACTTTTTGACTATTCTTAGCTATTTTTGAATTTGTTTGGGGGTATCCATGATTTCTCGTCCATCATCCGCCTGTGGGGGGACATGCTCGACCCAAGGCTAGGGATGACCAGGATCGAGCATCCGGGATCAACGCGCCGGGATCGAGGCTTCAGGGGCGCGCCTCGGGCCTCCCCGGGGGACTCGCGGCCACGGCCGGACCCGCCGCGAGGGAGAGAGGGGAGACCGCGAGAGGGAGAGTGGAGGGAAAAGGGGGAAGGGAGGAGGAGGAGGAGGAGGAGGAGGAGGAGGAGGGGAAGGGGAAGGGGGAAGGGGGAAATGGGAAGGGGGAAGGATGATGATGATGATGATGATGATGATGATGATGATGATGATGATGATGATGATGATGATGATGATGATGATGATGATGATGATGATGAGGAGGAGGAGGAGGAGGAGGAGGATGATGATGCTGCTGATGATGATGATGCTGATGCTGATGCTGATGATGATGCTAATGCTGATGCTGATGATGATGATTCCGATGATGATACTGATGATGATGATGACGATGACGATGATGATGTTGATGATGATGATGAGGATATTGATGATGCTGCTGATGATGATGCTGATTCTGATGCTGATGCTGATGCTGATGATGATGATGATGATGATGCTGACGCTGATGCTGATAGTGATGATTATGATGATGATGATTATGATGATGATGATGATGATGGTGATGATGCTGATGATGATGATGCTGATGATGATGATGATGATGATGATGATGATGATGATGCGCATGATGATGATGATGATGATGCTGCTGCTGATGATGATGATGATGAAGATGATGATGATGCTGCTGACGATGATGCTGATGCTGATGCTGATGCTGATGATGCTGATGCTGATGCTGATGATCATTATGATGATGCTGAGGATGCTGCTGATGATGATGCTCATGCTGATGCTGATGCTGATGCTGATGCTGATGCTGATGCTGATGATTATGATGATGCTGCTGCTGATGATGATGATGATGATGATGATGATGATGATGATGATGATGATGATGATGATGATGATGATGATGATGATGATGATGATGATGATGATGATGATGATGATGATGATGATGATGATGATGATGATGATGATGATGATGATGATGATGATGATGATGATGATGATGATGATGATGATGATGATGATGATGATGATGATGATGATGATGAGGAGGAGGAGGAGGAGGAGGAGGAGGAGGAGGAGGGAAAGAGGAAAGAAGGTCCTGAGGTACTGCGGAGCTTTCCCCGGGACCAGCTCTGCGCCTCGAGAGTCGTCTTGTTGGCGCCCCCGGGGCCCTGGGCAGGGCCCAAGGAAGGCCGAGTGCGGCGAGAAGCCTCGGGGTGCACCCGCGCCGGCCTCTCTCGGGGCGTCAGCTTCCACCCCGCCGATTTCCAGCAACCTTGTGTCGGCAGAGCCGCCATTGCGACGCCCCGTGGGGCCTCAGAACGGCCCAAGAGAACCTACCATGGGCCCGACATAGCTCCATGGGACCACGAGGGCCCCAAGATAGCCCCAACCCCCTTGTGCCACTTTTCAGTGGTTTCGCATTCTGTCCGCGCTTTTTTTCTCACAAGTCTGCTGATCATTTCTCTTTCCCACAAATCGGTTACTTATCAAGCTCTATTGTACCACGTATCTTTGTTTTGCTTTCTGTCCCTTAGTCGTTGATTTCCCGTGAGCGGAGTCCCCGTCTAGCCACGCCTGAGCCGCTGCACCAGCAAACGTTACTTCAAATACGAAACTGCCTGCGACGGCGAGCCTGAGATTCAGAAATTCGGGGACTAAGCAACAGCACAAACACAAGAACCTGGAGGTCCGCGCGGATTTCTCGCATCGGCGCTGGACCCCCCTCCCTGGCGCGCGGGGCGCGCCAGGGGCGGCGCTGGAGGCGCCGCCAGGGGGCCCCAGCGCTGATCCGAGACATCCGCGCGGACCCCCGAGTGGATGCCACTGTTTGTCCCCCCCCTAGCTTGCCTCCAACACCCCGAGTTTTGATGTTTATGGCACTGCTCGCTCCCCCACCCAGAACTTGCATCCACCACCGCGCCAGAGCCCACGCCCGACACCTGGCGCCGCTGCCCCTTGCGCCGCTGCCCCCTCGCGCACGTGCAGAGCCCCGGCCGCTGCAGGGGCAGACG